ACCGCTCAACCCCTTAATTGCCCAGGACAGAGAATAGGGAGGTAACCAGGTCAGAGCCAGAAGATGCTGGGCATTGTTCTAAGCCACTAAAGCTGTTTTTCACCCCCATTCAGAAGCTTGGTTTATGTAATTGCCAAGCAAAGGAGGGCATTGAGGAGGGGCAGCAGGGAGCACTCCGAAGGGATGCGGAATCGCTTTTAATTAATGAGGAGTGACTCGCAGCCTGATTCCTTTCTGCTGCAGTAAGATCTCCACCGAACACCACAACACAAATCCTTTCCCAGGGCTTCAGATCAAGCCATAGGTCCTTGGTTGTAATATTCCTGATAATAGCTGGGATTTAGTCTACAAGTTGGGGGACCAGGAGAGTGAAAAAAAAATCCAATTAACTCTCCCTGAGCTCTTTTAGTTCTGTAGTGCTGGGAACAATAGCAAATAGCTGGGTTTTGTGTGTTCAGCTCCCCAAAATACTTGCCCTGATTAAATCCTTCAGAAAGCACTGATGGTTCTTTCGTGTAGCTTTAAAAGTGGCTTGGCACCAAAAATGAAGGGTGAGAGATTAAAGAGCTCGAGGCAGAACGTTTGGGTCTGACCCCTGACCTCAGTTACACCAGTTTGAGTTGGGATTAGCACCAGAGTAAACAAAAAGGGAAATTGGGGCACTGAGCAGGCAGTACAAGCTTGTCCTTGGTGGATTTTCATTTGGGAGACTTTGGATCTTTCAGGCTGTTCTGGACAACAGCTGAGCACAACCAAAAGTCTGGATTTTCTGCACCTTGGCTTCACATTCCTGCCCTGAGCTCCATCTGTGCAAGCAGGTCCCAGAGTGCTGGAATTGAGCTCTCCTCAGTGCGGGCAGGGAAATAAACCTGCTGGGGCCAGGGCAGGGGGCAGAAAACCGTGGTGATCCACAGGCAAAACCCCTCCATTCATCTCCATCCTGCTTCCCAGCTCCAGCAGGGCCAGGATTTTGCTGCTTCCCAAGTTTGTGGGCGCTCCTGGCGTGTTCTGAGCGAGCAGAACCCGATGTTAAACATCTGGCACTGCCAAACCGCGTGGGTGCAGCAGCTTTGGTGCTGCTCCATCCCTCTCCTCCATGCCCTGACCAAGCCTGGGTGCTGTGCACAGCTCATTAGACACAGCCTAATTAATCACCTCGCAGGGGGAGCGTTTAGGCTGGGTGTTTAAGTCTCGTTGTTGCTCTTAGGGTACAGCACAGAGCTCCTGCCCAGCTGTGTCCCTTCCCTGAGAGCCAGGGGAGCTCCTGCCCGGAATTTCTGCCCACGATGCCCGAGGCAAAGGCAGCCTGGAATGGCAAAGAGGCCTTGGCGAAGAGGCAGAGGCAGTTTGGAGGATCTGGAGCTTCTGGGGAAGCAGTGAGGTGGTTGATTGAGCACTCTGAGGGGAACCAGAGGGCTGGAGCTGTTCGTGCAGCAGCAGAGCTGAGATCAGCTGTGAGCTGGCAGAGCTGTGGGGCTGCCCAAGATCCTCCTGCAGCCACCCCAGATGGGCAGGGCAGGGCATGGCAGAGGCATTTTTGCCTTTTTCTTCCCCATTTTTCAGCCTCCCCCAGCCCGGAGTCACCCAGATTATTTCTCAGAATAAGCAGCTGGTTCACAACAAACATCCTCCTCCTTTGATGTGCTGTTGTGGTGGTTGGGATACTTTGGTTTCATGCTCATAATAAAGCAAACCAGCCACAGAGCTTTACTGTAAACTGCTGAGAAAGTGGCAGTAATTATTGCTCTCTCCTCCACGGGAGGGGAAACTTTGGATGTTAATGGCCTCTGGATGTTAATGGCTGATTACTCACTTTGGGGTGAAACAGCAAAGGGAAAGGGCCTTCACTTTCTTTGCTCTTAAAAGCTCCAGTGCTCAGGATGTTGGACATCCTGACTGCATGAGAGATTTGGATTAAGAGGGGAAAGGATGATTTATTTTATTTTATTTTATTTTATTTTATTTTATTTTATTTTATTTTATTTTATTTTATTTTATTTTATT